TGCTCTATAGATCTGAAATTTGGCATGCAGGTTACTTTCGCCTAACAATTTCAGATGCAATCATAAAAACTAGCAATTAGAGACCGTAATTAGCTTAATTTAATTACGCCCAAAGGACCATAAAATTGAGGACATGATTTCTAAAGATACCGACAAGACTGGAGGCTTGTTGACACAGTTACTTCGGCCCCAATCGATGTGAGCGCGCTGGCCGTGATCGTATAGTGGTTAGTACTTCGCGTTGTGGCCGCGACAACCCAGGTTCGAATCCTGGTCGCTCAAGATTTTTTTAGTCCGTGTATTTATAAACACTTAGTCAATTCATACTTAATCAAGTCATTAGATAAAGTAGAAAATAAACTATATAAAAAACTTTTTTAAAAACCACGTTTTTCATGTGTAGCAACGGACTAAAAAGGAGAAAATAAAATACTTAAAAAAAACTTTTTAAAAAACCACGTTTTTCTTGTGGACTAAAAAGTAGAAAATAACTATTTACATACATTTGATGACAAAAAACGTGGGTCGGGCAGATGGGTCGGGAAATTTGATGGTGAACGTACCCACGTTTTTTGTCATCAAATGTATGTAAATAGTTATTTTCTACTTTTTAGTCCACAAGAAAAACGTGGTTTTTTAAAAAGTTTTTTTTAAGTATTTTATTTTCCCATTACTTATACACAGAAAAAGTGCAATACAAATAAAGAGAGACTTTGTGGAGAAAAAAAAAGTCTTGTTAGACACCAAATACTGATCAAATCTGGATTTTAAAAATAAACTTTTAAGGCAAAAATAAATATGATTATAGAAAGTTTTATGAACAATTAAATAACTGTTAACACAAGTAAAAAATTATGTGAATACTGAGATGTAGCTTCAAGGTGATGAATCACATTCATTTAATTAAATAACAAAGAGGAAAGAACTGATTCTGTGTGTAGTATCATTACTAAAGAGGCTTATAGCACATTTTTGTGGCAAAAGCATATCACAGTTATACACAAGGTACCCACTCAAATATGAGTTATTATGTTCCAACAGTATTATGAAAATATTACTGAAATGCATGTTATAATATGTTGGAGTAGGGTTTGAAACTTTTGAGGATTGTAATTAAGCAATGATTGCACTTTTGAGGATTGTAATTAAGCAATGATTGCACTTTTGCTCCCCAATAGTTCACAAGTGGTATTTAATATAAACTTAAGACTATAACCCCACATTTCATTTCATATGCAGATAATTTAAGAGAAATAACTTTGGAAAGTATGAATGGAAATTTTAAAATCATGATTTACACAATTTCTGTATAAAAGCATCTAAAGCTATATAGACTAAACAGTTTTTCTGAGATAGGGTACTAAATGGCTAGCAGCCTCATAATTAGTAGTAAAAGAAGTTTTTTCTAAACATCTAAAAAAAAAAAAAAGCAAATTAGACATCTTTTCAAATTTTATGGTTTCAAAGAGCAACTAATAAAATAAGTTAACAACAGTAGTTAAGAGGTCTTAATACACTATTAAAAATTGCAACTGTTCACAGAATATAAAATTAATGTTAAATATACTAAAACTGTTAATAAAAACCATAGAAACAAATTGTCCATGTTACTGTCTGTCTCCTGCTTTTTTAGGAAACATAATACTGCTGAAAACTTAAATGTTACTTGTGGCAAAAGGTTTCTAAAGAAATAAGTTTTCTTTTTTAATTGCAGAGAAATACAGTTACAGCCCAATAAAAATAGTGAAATTAATGAAATCTGAAGTAAATATTACCAGTACTGAATTTTTAAAAAATGGCACTTTAGTTTATCACTGATCTGGGAAATACACGATGCTTTGTTTAAAAAAAGAAAGCTCTCTAAAAGGAATACAAGTGTGTGTATTACTTAAAAAAAATGCTTGATTGTATTATACTAATTTTTATAACAGTAGCAAATACTTTAAAAAATATATAGACATTTAAAAATTTTAAATTAAAAAGATTTACAACATTTCTAAAGCTTTTTTATTATTAAAATAAAAAAATGAACACAAAATAAAAAAAATAATACTTTATAAATTATACATCATTTTATCACCGTTCAATTTTTCTTTCACAAATTTTGTAAAAATTACATTTGTAATCATTTTAACATTCCTGTAATTCATAGATACATTTAAAACAATTTTTTGAAAATATTCAGTAACAATGAAAGTGATTTGCTAATGCAATTATACTGATTTGATCAACATGATTAAAACAAACTGTATTTTAAAAAAGCCGTTGGTTCCAAACAAACCGCAATCACAGTAACTTGGTGTAAATTTGTCACAGTACTCAAATATCAACTCTTTACATAATCTATGCTGAGTTAATAAACAACACAGATGATATCCTAAAATGGAAGACATCTTATAACAAGGAATTTACAAACAACAAAAAATCCAATCAACTAAAATCTTATAAAACTTAGTTCACATGATAAAGGAAGCTTCCAGTGATTGATTAATAAAGCATTGATAAGCTTTTTAAAAATATTATGCTCACTTACAAAATAAAATATTTGCAAATTAAAAAAATAAATAACTTAAGGAATGTTTAATGCGACATTTGCAAAATCATTCACTGGGGTTGCAAATAGTTAAAATCAAAATACGCACAAGTGAATACACTCAAATAAACTTGAAATAACAGACAACTCAAATACATCTCTTTATAAAATATGATGTATACTATTATTATCAAATGCCAATATCTATTTTAAAAGTAGGAATTATTTTGCACTAAAATCTGCAAAACTTAAAAAGTTTTAGTGTGACCATAGTTCATTTACAACAACATATTTTGTAGATATATACATTTTAAATCTCTTTATCATTAATTTTGAGGAGATAAGTTTGACTCAGAAGATATTTGAATATTCTCATTAACAACAGTTAAGGGTTCATTAGTTGATTCAGATTTAAATTCATCAGTTGCAGCTGAAACAGGGAGTATGAGTATAGTTTCAACAGTTTCAGTGGTGTTTACACTTTGACTATTTTCTTCAGTCTTAACCAAATCCTCTTCTTTAGAAGCTGGAACAACCGTATCATCACTGGTTTTTTTGTGCAAGTGGCTCTCAGATGATTCAGACATTTTCATTTGTAGTAAAAATATATCCATTTTTTTAGTCCACGAGCGGACAGTTGATTCTGGAATATTATATTTTCTAGATGCAGCGGTAGATCCATATTTAATGCCAAACTCAACTATCTCAAGTTTATCTGCTGGGGTGTATTGCCTATATGAGCCACGAATGCGCCTTGAACCTTCTCCAAAATGAAATGGTCTACAAGGAGTTAACTGATCAGGAGATGAAATGGTTCCTATATCATTTTTACGTCTGTTACTGTCTTTTTCATCACACAATGAAGGTGTAACATTGTTACAATCTACTAAACTGTTTTTTAACAGCAAATCACTTTTTGAGATCATTTTAAGTATCTTGGGTGGCCTGCCGCGCTTTCGTTTCAATGGAACTTCTACTGGATCTACAGCAATGTCTTTTACTAAATCTAAACATTTCATCTCTAGAGGCTGAAGTTCATCTGAGCTCAAAACTTTTTTAACTGATGTCCGACTGCGAATTTTAGAAAGATTTGCTTTCCTCATCATCAAACTCCTTTTTAATTTATCTTTACGATCATGCCACAAGACTTTGTGACTAGGTTTCAAACATGTGCTAACTGTAGTTATTTCAAACATTTCTGGGAAAACGCTTGCGTTGATTGGTTCTGTTGAAGAGTTTCTATTCTCATCAACTTCACTGGTTGTCAGAGAAAGACTAAGGTTTCCAGCAGTTACATCTTTAACAAAATTTGGTCCGAATAATTTAATACCTAACTGCAAAGTATCAGAGATGCCCACCAAGTCTGGTTTGAAAGGTTCTGAGGTAGTCAAGTCCAAAGCAGATCCATGTAATTCACTCTCCATTTCTCTTGAAGTAGGACTTGCATCACCTGGAGAATGAGAGTATCTCATGCCATAGCAGTTTAATTGTAACAGTTCATTTTTAACCATTAAAAAATAGAAGATATATGTTTCTACAATTCAAAGAAATGTTTATGGTCTCTATTTTTTAAAACGATCCTTATATAGGGAGAAAAAATACCCAAATTTTCAGCATAAAACTTACTTCAAATTGTAACATCCATTGCACTTTAATTTAGTATTAAAAAATCTATTAGTTAATATCAATGCTAAAAAAACATGTATTAAAAATTCTATTAAAAACCCATAATCATGTTGTCGCATATGGTCATTAATAATAGAAAATACATTTTGAAACATTTATTTGTGGGACATTCCTCTAAAAAATTTGAAATTATATACAAACAGCGTAAAACATTTAACATTTGCAATGAAGACCACAAGTCCTCAAAATGGAACATCATATTAACAAAAACAATACACCAACCATTTATTAAAAAATGGCAATATCTGTTGTACAAAACAACACTGCAACACTTAAATAAGCACACAAATTATAAAGCATCAAAATCAGAGTAACTGAATGTGTTGGTTTCAATAACTCATTCAAAAATCATTTTCAATTCTCAGTAAAATAACTTATTATTTTTTATGATTACTTATTTTTTTTTTTTTTGGAAAATAAAAGATTCAAAATATTTTTTAAATATTGTTTTTTGCTCTTCAGTCAATTTACATTCTAATCTAAAAAGTCACAGTCAACACAAAACAGCAGTACAAGTTAGCAAAGTAATAAAAGTCCATTCTAATTTGACCAAGAATTATTACATTGTAAAATGTGAATGCATGCTCCTATGTTGCATAGAGAAAGGTTGAGCAGAACTAAAGGGTAACAAAAACAGACAAAAGTAACAGTACAAGATCTCAAACTGGTCAAGATACTGTTCAACAGTTTGATTACCAAGAAAAAATACTTCTCTCAGAGCTTTTCTTGAGCTGCATTAATTAATTACATTGAAAAATTGTCATTTTTAAAGTGTACTTACTACGTGGGTTTGGAGGTCCTTGAGAAGAGTGTGTCATGTCTACTTGAGAAGGGTCCTGGAAACCTTGACTTAAGCTCCCCAAATCACTGGCTGTCCCACTGGCAAACTGCTGAGGTGCCTGGTGGTGGTTAGCTGAGTAACTCAAGGTACTACCATCATGTAGCATGTTTGATTGATTTGAGGACGGATCTGTTAAAAAGTCAGAGATTTGACAACAATGTTTTTTTTTTAATTTAGAGCCGAAGAAATAATTTAATTTGATTTCAGTAAAGTAATTTGTTATCACTGTTATTTTTATACAGAAATGCTAACTATTCTACAATTTTGGAATTTTAACACTCAACAGCTACCTGTGCTACATCTTGTACTTTTAAAATTTTTTTTATTACATACTATTCTACAGAAAAAGTTCCTATAAAATAAAACAGTTACCTTGACTAAGCCTGGAGGCCGCAACAGCAGAAATCCCCCTTTGACCTGAGTTTCTCTGACTTTCATATTCTTCTTTCACAAATGTCACATCCAGATCTAGATCATCTTCATCTTCAGCACCCATCCCTGAGCTTTGATTGCTATCACCACCAAAGAATTCAGCATGAGAAGGACTACTGAAATGTTCAGTGTGATTACGATCAGCTGCATGTTTTGATGGGGTGCTGCTAAAATATGAAGATGTCTGCAGGGTTGTGTATTTATAGGGAGGTTGTAAGCTGTTGTAGTTTCCATTATGCTCTCTTTTTCTTTTGCTGGTGCTCTGTGCTGGAGGGTGATTGAGTGACTGATCTAAAAGTCTGGATTTATGACTATCATGGGGAGCCCCTGATAAAACATTACTAATACTGGAAATGGCTGACTGCAGTCTGGAGGTTCCAGCTGTTAGTGACATATTGGAAGAATCTTCAAAAATTACAGTCTGATCATCATCTTTTTCTTTTCTTATAATACATTCTTCTGGCGGGGCTTGAGCCTGAAAGCTTTTACTCACAAATACTGTAGAATTTTCAGCATTTTTGCACACTTTTTCTTTGACCACATAATCAAAGCTAGAGCCACTATCTATATTAAGGTATAAGTGACCAATAATTTCAATGCCATCATTGAATTCAACATAGCCATGACAGAGTGTTTGTAATGATTTCACAAGGGCAGAAATAAATTTATTTGCTGAATCGCTGTTCATTGTGCCAGCTACTCCACTTATAAATAAACCTGCAAGTAGATAAAACAATATATATGTATTATACAGAATATATGTTAGATTTATTTTATTATATTGTGGCTTAAAAAGAAAAAGAAAGTGTTGAAAATTGTTTACAAAGGAAGGCCAAAACAAGATGTTAAAAAATTATAAAATAAAAAGCTTAGGTTTAATGTACAAAAAAATAAAAAAACTTAATATCCAAAAATGTAATTGCATGCTATTCACTTTTAATGAGACAAGCGTTAGGCAAGATATCAAAGTAGTTAACTATGGCATTTTGCATATTTCAATTGTTAAATGTTATATAAAGCTACAAGGGAGGTTTTCTAATAGTAGTAATAACTGCAGGAGTACTGTAAAAAAAATTTGGAGAAAAAACCCCTGGTAAAACATGAAAATAATTACGGACTTAAAGAGTTAAGAAACCTGATTATTTAAACTTTTATTTAGGCATAAACTATCGATACTTTATTAATAGTTTATGCTTACTTGCATTATCTGTTTGGATATTACAATACTAGTTCTATTTTTTAATTTATCACACTGATGTTAGGGGACGTCTGTTGTTGTAATCTAGATATGGGTATGCTAATCATGCTTTCCATTCAAAGGGTGGGTCCTCTCTCTAAGGCTATGAACAATATAGCCTTACAAAATCTAATTGTTATAAAATAATGACTGACGTTTCTTTCAAAGACAGAAAAATGTGTGTTTTTGTTTTTTTAATGAAAAAAAACAACAACTAAACAAATTGTTTTGCTGAAAATTTTTACCTAAGCTTAGTTACTACACCCCAATCCCTTCTCAAATCTGCAATCCTATTCTTTAAAATCAGAGACTTCTTTTTAAAATATTTATTTAGCTCTGTTGCCATTATGCCTATGTATAATAATCCACTATTTTTGTTATTAGAAAAAATGTCTTAAAGAATTATTGCTATTATTTTTTGTTTTTAAGACAAAATAACAGCTATAATTCAGTTTCTCAACCACCACTCCCACTTTTATTATTTAATAATTAACAAAAATTAAAGTATGTAACCTAATATACTAAACAAATCAGTGATTTTTGTAGAAAAATTGAAGTACTTTAGTTTTCTATAAATAAGAACTCATGAAAAATAATTCTTATAATTAATTTTCCCAACAGAAGCATATTTTTATGTGTGAAAAAATCAACTCTTTTAAATTTCTTCTTTAAAACAAAGTTATTAGGCAATTTTTTAAAATAAATATCTAATTACTTTAATTCAGGAAAAAAGTGAAAATAATTCCCTGCTTAAAGAGTTAAGTCTTCAATTGTGTGTTTTTGCGTTGTGCTTTTCAGTATTGTTTAATATAAATAAGCCTAAATAAATGATGGCACTGGCAGAGGCCTGTTTACTAGGCTAGGCATATAAAATATAAAGGCCAATTTTAGCCGGAAGAAGACGCCCATGCGCATTGTGATACAATGATCTGGTTTTTCTTGTCAACTAAATGTTTGTTGTTTAGACCTGTGTTGCCATGATGGAACAGGGAAAACACAATAAATACTCGTTGATTCAAATGGTCTATTTAAAATACATTTTAAAAAAATAATTTATACTTATAAACTAGATCTCTTTACTCGTATACAATAACTATACTATGAGTATGAACCCTAAACCCCTGACGAATGGTAATTTGATCCCATTGCAAAGCTTTAAAAGAATAATTTGAGCAACTATTAATAGTATTAGGTGTAAATTTCAGCCTACTGCACAGCCATTAAGGTCATAGCGTTTGTTTATCTTCTACCAGCCAGCTTAGCTGGGAGGGGGAGTAGTCACTTCAAAATATGAATCTATAGGCCCTATAGGCCTATATTTAACCCTAAAACCTATTTTGGCCCATATGTATTTCTTTTCAAATGATTTAGACGCCAGCCTATGGATTCTTTAATTAGGGATTTTGGTAAAAAAAAAAAGCCCATTGTATAAAAATATATTCTTGTAGAGCCCAAATATATAAAAACAAAACATATTTTCTTTCTAGCTCAAATAGTTTTTTTAAGTGAACTTTTGTTAGGGGTGGAGTTCTCCTTATTTTGCATTGGCCTTTGTTACAAAGTTATGGTATACCTGAATTTTAACAAATATTTTACTTGCAGTTAGGCCTATATTTTGTTCATATTTGCAGAGTTTAGCTAGAATGATATATAGAACTTGTATATGTTGTTGAAATGAATAAAAATAATACAGAAAGTATATTTTTGTGTTGGCTTCCTCCCCTAACCCCAAAAAAACTGCTGCGCAAATATGAAAATGTTTCTAAAGCAATGTTTTATATAAATACACCAACCGTCTGCTGTGTACATACAGAAATGAACTTTATATATTAGATTGAATGAAAGAACTACATAGTCAGAAATCTAAAGTAAACGACTTGAGTACTGTAATGTGCATATAACTGCCTGAATATTTTGGGCAGGTGAAGATAAAGTAGAGTCCATCTTAAAGCCATTTTGTTATAAGTAAACTAAAGTTATCAGATCAATGTTGTTATGTGTGTATGAAAGTCAGATTTTCAGTATATAACTATAAATAAGGGTAAGAAAAACTTGAAAACTTAAAATTACATTTAGCACATAGCTAGTGTATAGCAACAGACAGGTAACCTAGGTCTGATTCTTGTCTAGTCTGACAAAATTAAATTTTAGGAAAAACATTTGGCAAATTTTTACTTCAAGCAAAACTAGATCTAGAGCTGAAAAATGAAAGTAAGGTACATTAAATTATTTTTAAAACAACAATAAAGAGATTTGTTTGCACATTACATAAGAATGCTGTTGTTAGTGTATCAAAATGAAAAAATATAGACCTAACAATTGTGGCAATGTGACCTACATACAGTGACTACTTTCAAATGAGTATATCTAATATCGAAGTTACAATATTTAAAAGCCAATATCAATTCTATAAAAATGAAATCTATCTGCAAGGGAAACTTTCTTTATCTAAGAGGAAACTAAAAAAAAAAAAAAAAAATCGAGTTTTTAACGAATATGAAACTTTTACACAGGGGTAAGACCAAAGCAAAGACAGCAAGCAATCAGATTGCAAAATCATTAAAACAAAGGGAAAACCATTCTACTTTTTAATTAACATTAGAAAATGACCTTTTAAACGATTTAATTTAGGCTACCATAAATTAAAAGCTTATTAGTATGCAAAACCAAATCTCGTTTGCCCAGTATCAGAAAGTAATGGGAGTTTTTGGGTCATGTTTTTACCAAGAACATGGCTGATACAGTCAAGCATACTACTACTATAATACTTCTGTTATTTTAAAATAGGCCTAGGCCTATAGTTTTTATTATGCAGAATAGATCAACTAGATCAAATATTTTAAAGTTACATTGGTAACATCAGATAGCCTATAGAACTAGAATAGAACACAGAATCATAATTATAAGTCATCTATCAAACAAAGGTGTCACGCTTTTGTAAATTGATTTTTTCATCCTCCAACCACTCCCCGTCGTCACTAAATGCCTAAAGTGTCACACCTATACCTAAGCTTACATATCCCCTGCCCCTCAAAACTGCTATCTTTGGGAATGTTTTTCTTCTAAGGGACTACTCGAAAAACGATTTTTCCCCCCAACGCTATCTAGCTGGCAAAAAGGTGTAAAGCGCAATGACCTAAAGATAGGGGTCATCCATAAATGACGTCACGCTTTTTTTTGACGACTTTTACCTCCCCAACTCCCCTCCATCACACGTCGTCACAAAAAGCCAGACCTCCCATTGGGCTCAAATGAACTACTATTAATAGCTGCACAATGGACTCAATAATATATGGGATTCATTACTCTCTTTGCTTTATTCTTCTGACAAAACTATCTGTACCGTGTGGTCGAGCAGTTGCGCTTCAGGCAGGTCGTCAGGGGTTGAGAGTTTATAGAATATAGTATAGCTAGCAAAGAGTTCTAGTTTATAAGTTAAGTAGGATCCTATAAAGTATTTTTTTTAATCTATAGGCCTATTAATAGCCTATTTAAATCTAGCAATTATGTATTTAACGTATTAATCCCTGTCCCATCAAGTAGCTAGGCCAATGCTGCTGCCGAGAAAATCGGACAAATCGGCTTTTCCCTACCCCCTGCATGTTTAACTCTGTTTTTTGCATGCTTTTATTGTGTTTATATTAACATGTTATACATCATTCTGTTCGTAATTGAACAACCTTTTTAACTGTATAAGTTTGATTTCTTTATTATTTCAGACGTTGAAGAAATCGCCGATTTAATCGCATTTTTTACCCCCCGCGGCGACGTGCCGATTAGGGGGGAGGCTTTTTCACCTTTTTAAAAGAGGGGTGTTACTTAGAGTCTATAGACTCTTTGAGTTTTCGTACTACAACAGTGAAACTTGGTAGAAGAATAGATTAAATGTTCACGTATAACGCTCAAGGTTCTTGGGGAAAATATGTTAAATACTTTTGGAGATATCGAACGGCAAAGTTGAACTAAGTTATTTGGGCTATTAATGGACCGATTTTTAATTTGAACCTTGAGCTGTATTCCTGAAATCTCGACGTTTATTAATATGTATGATATGTCATATTAGGCCCTATAATAAGGACGTCTATAGACTTTGAAGTGGACCGAAAATCAAAACATGACGCGCCGACCGCTGTCCGACTGAACCGCTCGGCTGTGCTTCGAATCGCTGTGTTTTAAATATGACGCGCTACAATTTTTTTTATAGACGTATCGAGTTTACGTACTACAACAATCAAATTTGGCAGACGAACAGATTAAATGTAGACGTACAACGCTCAAGGTTCGTGGTCAAAATAAGTTAAATACTTCAGGAGATATCGGACCGCAAAGTTGAACTAAGTTTCCCGGTCTATTATTTGACCTATTTTACATTTGAACCTTGAGCTGTATTCCTGAAATCCCGCCGATTATTTTAATGTATGACATGTATTATAACACCTCATAATAAAGCCGTCCATACATTTTAAGACGGAACGAAAATAAAAATTAACGCGTCGGCCGCCGTCCGACTGAATCGTGATCTACACATCGTGTAGCACAGCCGAGTGTGTGGTCACGTGACGCTAGGCGGTTGATCCGATTGGATGAGACTATAAACAATTTCTAAAGATAGATACGTGTGTTCCCGTATTTGACTCGTCGGGTATTGCTATTTTATATTTAAGTAGACAGGCATGTTTCATAACTTTGTTTTAAACCATTGAAACGGCAAAAAAAAAAAAAAAAGTCGTAATAGTATTTACTACTATTTACTAATCGTCAAAATTAATCTTCTTTAGAAATTAATCCGGATAGCTGCGACCCGACCAAACAATGCTGACGTGATTCGCGTGCCGTAACGTTTCATTATTGTGTACATTACTTTTTCGTAAAAATGGCTTTAAAAAATAAATTAAATTTTACCCCGGGCTCTTTTTTTTCGGTTGACTAAAAAATTTTAAAACCCGTAACAACGTGGAGGTTACTAGCTTGCCAAATCGACCAAAATGGGATGGGGTGGGTATGGGGAGTCACTGACCATCCTACACGGTATGTAACAATTGTAACACCGTATGTAACATCCATAGCCTCACCCCGCCCCCACTACTCCGTGACGCGACAAGCCGAGGGTCGGCGCCTTTGATGTTGTATAACACCCGTACGGTACCCCAGCGGCTCGCGGTGGTTTCATACCCCACCTCCCTCCCCCTTTCACTTTGTGGAGTTGATGTTACTAACCCTCGGGCATAGATCAGGAAATCTTCCCAGACTTTTGTCTCTAAAATTACATAACATTCGTCCAACACGTTCATCGTGTTGGCCGACTAGCCTATCTTGCCTCGGCAATAAAATTCGTTGGTCAGAAAACCTGGTTAACCACGTCTGATTGAACTAAATCTAGGCAAATGCTGATGGTGATAAACGCCTCTTTGTTTAGCCAGACACGGGAAACTTAAAAAATGCCTAGCATCTACTACACACAGTCAAGCACTGAAACACGTGCTTTTTCCCCCAATGTAATAGGCCTATGGTAGGCCTACAAAATACACAAGCTTACTACTAGCATAAACATTGAGCATATATAAATCTGTTATAGACCTATAACTTACACTACCTTGTACAAGCTAAAAAAAAAAACAATTTTCCTCCAATGTTTATGTTATTAAAATTGTAAAAATGAGCAATTTTTTTGTGTTTAAAAATATTACAAATTTGTCATAAAGCACCTTGATTCTGATAAGACACATTTGTAACTAGGCTAATTCTATAGAAGAAAGTTGTATCAATGGTATGACATTTAAAGTAACAAGAAATATAAATATAATAAGATATGCCTATATTTTTGGAATAGAGTAGGCCTGTACGATTGCACATAGATTACATAACATATTTTAAGAAGTTACATCATCACAAATATACTATTGTTATAGCATCCTTCTCTTTGTATTAAAACTGTATTAGTTATCTTTTCTTTAAGTAGGCTATTCACTTAAGTTAACTGACAATGAGCAAAAGAGATTTTAAAATAAATACATGGTAAATTATGAGCAAAAGGTGCGAATTACATAGCCTGACCTTTATAGTTTTGTAATAATGTTCGACCATTTTAAATATCACCATTAGCTTCAGCATATACAAATGTCATATTATGGTTTAAAACAGTGTTTAATTTAAAGAATGACTTCTTATCACACGGATTATCAGATGTTGTAAAAAAAATTGAAGGGGGGTATTACATAATCCATGAAATAAGTCTGTTATGTAATCAAAAGACACTTTTTAAAATAGCATCATTGGATTCGGCATAAAAAATCTACAAAATATCATAAAATGACATCAATTGGTGAAGTCTGCTTGCTTTTATACCACTTTTAGTGAAAAACTCTTAAAAATTTGGTCCATACCCTCCCAGTATTTTTCCTCTTTCAGGGTCTACCCCGGTTGTCTGAAAAAACTGCTGTTTTTTAATGACAAAAAAATTCATAACTTTTTTGTTTATGGTCAGATTTTGAAAATTCAAACTGATCTGTAATCAGATTGACAGTCCCTATCCAAATATGTAACTATTATATTGTTTTACTGAAATTAAATTTTTGCATTGGCCTAGCTACATCAAGACAATACACAGGCCTAAACTTAAACAGCTTTTTCTGCATATCTTTTTCTGGCTAGAATCTGCCCTTTTTTTTGGCTAATGTAGTGACTGCTCAAACTCCATCATAAAAGCAAAGAATATAGGCCTAATAGTCGTAAATTCAATCAATTTCTAAACAAAAAGTAAGAGATTAAAGATGGCTAAAAATCAGTTTCTAACATTACTTTACATTTTTACATGCAAAAAGTGACCTCACAACTTAGTTTAAAGATGTAGCCCCCTGTAAAACTCCATTTTAGCGTATTTTATTCCCCGCTTTCACATTCAACTCCAGTAGAGCGTATTTTATTATAAACACAACCGAAACACATTAGGAAAACACTAGGACTAGAACTAGATCTACTTATTTTTTTATGAATGTGATTTTTAATTAGAAAAGGTAAAAAAAAAACATAAAAAAGCATTAGAACAGTTCCAATTAAATATCGTGTGATTGTCAGCGGGAGAAAAAGTCTTACACTGTCGTGGGTTCACATTGACTTTAATTATCATTATCAGCATACGTCATAGCTCGGGCAATAGCTGTTTGAAATTGTGTTGGCCTCAGTTTAGGTGTCATTGTAAGTTCATAAATGTTTATTTAATTAATATTTAGGGCCTATAGTATCATGCCTGGGAGATACTTGTAACAATACAAACTTAACCATCTTGCAATTGTGAGGTACGTTTACGTACTTCACCCATTGCCATGAAAATCCTAAATGACCCACGAACATAGCACATTCAATATTCTAAATTTGGATTTTTCTCAAGTTTTGACAAAAGTAAATTATCAAAATCTAAAACGAAGTCAATCTCTTTGTTTTTTTATTCATTTGTTAAAACAAAAATACAATACAAATAAATAAATCGTGTTTTCCTAATGTTTTGGTTATTATAATAAAATACGCTCAACTGGAGGTAAAGGAGAAGCGAGAATAAAATACGCTAAATGGAGTTTTACCCTACCCCCTCCCCCCAAAGTCTAAAAAACCTAAGTTGAAGCAGAAGTACTAAAGTTGGCTAGATCTAGATAGTTTTTTAAATAGTTAAAATAGATATAGATTCTAGATCTAGATCTCTTACATTCATAAATCATAAGTGATATAAAGTAAATTGGAGGGGATGGATGATAGACCTAACCCTAGATCTTGTATTGACGGGCCAGCAGTAGAGCAGTGCGCTCAGCACTTGAAATTGATTGAAGAGTGCCAAAGTTGCAGAAATGAAGAAAAGTGAATGAGTGTAATGAGTCTATTCAATTTTATAATATTTTAGGCGGTGACAAACCTTGTCATTTATCAGTATAATGTATTCATTTGAGCTGCGCACATGGAATAATTACGAATGTTGTGAGTAATTAGAGCTTGTGCAGCAAAACTAAATTAATTACAATGGAAGCTCAACAATGATGGCTGCATTAAATTTTATCCCAATTTTTTTGCGCATGCGTGAACAATGATTCACATACGTATACTTTTTGTTTCGAATCAATCAATTAAATTAACTCGTTGATTTAACATCCACTTTGGTTTCTAAAGCAACATGAAGGTGAAATATTTTAAACAAAACGGAAACTTATTTAAAAGCATAAAAATAAAGCCTTACCTCTGTATCGCAATTAATGATACTTCAGGAAGTGGTGCCACTGGGTCGGGTGACACCTTGTATGACACCCAGGATGATATGTGTAACTTTAATAAGCAATTAATCTAACTGGAAAGGCAAACTTTCTCGTTAGCTAAATTTCGATGTGGTAACATCCCCCCTGGGTGGTGTCACCTGATACGGAAACTTTACGCCCGCCTTGTGAAGCTATGACTTCAGTTGGAGTGGTTTGTGTGACGATGCATTAGCCTAGCTACACAATTCGCCGCCCATGAGGATAAATTGAATTTGACAATGATGGTCGTATTGACAACGATAGTGTGAAAAAACTCGCACCCACAAACTGGACAACTACTAATTGCATGGATCTTTTTCTTCTTTTAAAATGCACTTGACTTGTCTGACGAAGCCCTGTGACACTTCTGCTCAGAGGCGTAGCGACCCCTCTCGGCGCCCGGGGACAAACTTTCAATTTGGCGCCCCCTATATTTTTTTAATTTACAATTCAAATTTGCAACTAAAATGAGCTTTTAATTTTTTCCCCAACTTATTTTGATGTCCATAGGGTTGGCGCCAGGGGGCAGTGTTTCTTCCAGACTTTTTTCTCCGGGGGGGGGGGCACTTGAAATTTTCGGGGGGGCGGTAAACTTTCTTCGGGGGGGGCGGACACTGTTAAAAGTATATATTTTCTATATAAATTATATAAATTTCATTTCGTTCGGGGGGGCGGTAAAAATTTTTCGGGGGGGCTAAGCCCCCCCGAAGAGATGCCTGGAAGAAACTCTGCCAGGGGGTATACCCCCTCACCCGCTACAAAATTCAATAAAATTGGTAAGACTTCATGAGCGACCAATGCTTTTATTTAGGAAAGCAAGTTTATTTTATAATTAAAAAAAATTCAGTTGATAAAGAATTTCTGCATTCTTTTTATTTTCTTTTTTTTTGGTAACGAATTCTTACTCAAGTCATCAGCACCAACAGCAAAAAATATTTACTTTAAACCCAAATGTTTAATGGCTAATCAAGTGTTTAACTAGATAACAATTAGATATTCTCGCATTTTCATCACAGAAAAAGGTGATTGGGAAGATAGGGGTCACCCATAAATGACGTCACGCTTTTTTTTGACGACTTTTACCTCCCCAACTCCCCTCCATCACACGTCGTCACAAAAAGCCAGACCTCCCCCCCCCCTAAAATGACGTCACACCTCAACCTACAACTCCCCTCAAAATTGCAGTTGAATTTTTTTTTAACATCGATATTTTTCCAAAATCTTGTCAACACTATTACAATTTATTAAAACAGTTATCTAAAACGCGAAATAACGTCTAAAATTCGTTTTCTAACATTGCTTTTTATAATGAAAAAATGTAACGCCGCAACATCTAACCCCCCCCCCCCTCCCCCTCATCACACATCGTCACAAAATAACGGACCCCCCTCCCCCTACGAGTGTGACGTCATTTATGAATGACCCCTAGAACGAAATCGCTGCATTTGAAAGTGGTCGAAATTAAGCTACAAGATTTGCCGCAACCATACAAAAAGCAAACAGCACTTTTACCTTGGGCGGGGGCGGACAAAATTTTCCGGGGGGGGGGGGGGGGGGACGGGGGGGGGGGACGGGACACACTGGCAAAAGTATATGTTTTCAGTCCGGGGGTGGACTGGAAGAAACCATGTACCTCACTATTACGGAGGGTGATTAACACATACTCAAGGCTTTCACACAACCAGAGTTTCTTCCAGGCATCTCTTCGGGTCCCCCCCCCCCCCCCCGAAAAAAAAATTACCGCCCCCCGAACGAAATGAAATTTATATAATTTATATAGAAAATATATACTTTTAACAGTGTGTCCCCCCCCCCCGAAGAAAGTCTACCGCCCCCGAAAATTTCAAGTGCCCCCCCCCCCCCGGAGAAAAAAATCTGGAAGAAACACAGCACACAACACGCCCTCTAGCCGTCTGGGCGCTTGCTTTATGACATTTAAAATAACTCTGTTTTAGAAAACAAGCTCTCGCGTGGGCGGCGGACACCCTGGTAGACTTTGCTCCCTGTGCTGGGCGCCCTATCGCCTGACTCCAGTTGCTTAGGTAGCAGCGGTGAAACCCATGTCACCCAACAGCATACTAACCCCAGGCAGAATTTCTTTCAGGCATATCTTCAGAGGGACTGCTTCCCCCTCCACCGGATGAAAAAAAAAAAAACAACCAAAAAAACAAAACAACAAACCTCAGTGTCCCATGCCACAAACATTGTTATGGTCAAAGGGATATAACCAAGTTAATTCGGCTTCGCTAAATAATCTAAGCCTGGTTAATTCCCTTTTATTATTCATTATTATTTTATGGCCCTTAGGAGCCCTTAGGTTACATCAACGCTATACCCATGCACTTACTGGTCGGGATTGTGTGGCGCCGTGAACCACCGCAAAAATATGTAAGAGATCTCTTGATCAAAAAGCTTTAATTTATTAAGAGATCACGTTTTAGATTTCTTTTCGGTGCTATCAAAAGATTATTATAAAGGTTATAATATTTATTTTATTATATATCAATATCTATGACGCAAAAACTCACCCATTATTTCATTTAAAAAATTTCATGATAAAATAGAGTAGGTTTATGACTGTACCATAAATTAAATATAAAAAATCACAACCATGAAAACAAAAAGTTCGAATTTTTAATAAAACGTCGCGTCCGTTTACGAATGGAGGTCTAAAAGGCGAAAACGAGGCTACCTATAATTAGAGTATCCAACCTATAATGAACGCTGATATACGATTAAATATTAAACTAACAGCTGAAAGTATTGTTAAAAATACGAAACAACCATTTTATATTACGGAATTCGGAGTTTCCTATGTTCATTTGACATATGATATGTAGGTATTTTGAGCACAAAACACTAGTCACTAGATCTACTACTCTAGTCTAGTCTAGATCTGTCGAATCTCTGTCTCTCAGTGATCTCAGTCAACTCTCAGAATCTAGCTTCTTAGATTTAGATTAGGGTGTCGCCTAAGATTTTAAACTTCATTTTTGTTCATGATGCCTTTAAAAATAAAAAACTACATTTATTTAGGCCTATCCAATTTAATTTTTAATCGTAGCTTAGAAAATGATTTGCGAAAAAACATGTTTGTTTTTAAATGACTACTATCATACTATGATAAGACTGATTTAATTGTTTTGAGTTTATATTTAATTCAATGCAACAAACCTGCCGGTTGGTTGAGGGGGTTCATTCTGCAACGTAATAAAGCAAAATTACTTAGCAACAATACAATACAATATATATATGTTTGTGGCGGCAGGCGGCCTCTGTGTTCCACACAAAAGAAATAAGTTGATCCATTGTTGGCGGTTTGAACAAAGCAGTATTCCAAGTCGACACAAAAGATCGTGAAGCTGAGAAATCATAAGAACGTCTAGTGACGGAAAAATCTGAAGTTTTAACTTGGCTGCGGCTATTCGTACTTAACTACAAATAGCCCTATGAAGGCTATTTGTACTCTGACCAATCAGCGTGCGGCATTTTTTTTTATTCTTGAATTCCCTTTTGCATCTTTTACAAGCTGTATAGATCTAGAACTAATTATTTTTTATATCTCCCTAACCCTAGCCCTAGGCCTAACCCTAATGCTAAACCCTAATCCTTAAGAAAAATTAAAAAAAAAAGCAAAAAAAAATGCAATAAAAAAACCTCTAAGCCAGCGGGAATCGAACCCACGCCCCAAGAACCAAAAGGCCAAGCGCAACCACTTCGCCCACCGGAACAGTTACGACAAGTGAAAAAATTTGAATCTCATACACAAACTGCAGGACAATGAATTTAAAAATAAATTTGATTGGTCGGCTAAAAATAGCGAAGTACGAATAGCCCTCTGAAGGCTATTTGTAGTGAAGTACCAATAGACACTCTCTTTAACTTCAACAAAGTAAATGAAACTTCTTTAAAGTCTGTATCAAATACTACTGTAAACGGTCGCGGTTCACATCCTACCACAACCCTTTGTAAGTATTGGGTGGTGGTAAAATGCGAGGCAAAAATGTCACGTGACCGACGGTTTTCGTGCCCTTCTCGCAGTTTACCGCCTCACCGTTTCGTGTCTCGCAATTTCCCAACATCCTAATGAAGGCTATTAAATTGGTGTGGCCGCAGCTGGGTAACGCTTTTGGTGTTATTACCCTCGCTGCGTAGCCAGCAACTTGATGTCTAGATCTAATCTCGATACTCTATATTTAAATCTAAGTCTAGAATCTATATATTTCTAAATTTGTCTGTTGTTTTAAATTATTTTCGATCATCTACTTCTTCTAGATCTAGTTTGTATCTCTACATACAAACATGTCTAAGCAACCATAAAAAAAATCCCAAATGGGCTTTACGTAGCCCTGAAATTGTTAGTGCCACAGCCAGAAAAAAATCTTGATCTGAATGCTAATAAATTTAATTAAAACTAAAACCTAAGTCATTTTTTGTTTGTTTTGCAATCTATTAATTTATAATACAATCAACAAATGTGTTTAAATGTGTAAAATAATAATTTCAATTCTTAAAATTGGATCTAAACGTATAAACTACGGTCAATACGCAAGCAGGGGCAGGCGGCCACAGGCAAAAAAGGGGGAAAAAATTTTGCAAGGAGGATTATCACTTAAACAAGAATATCTCAATATTCTACCCGTAGGAATACAAAATGACATTAGAGTCCAATGGCAGCGGAGTAGCACAGTACTTTTGGTTTATATCTATGGGAAACGGTTACAAATTTAGAGCCCAATGAAAATTGGGAGTTTGGATTTTTCCACTATTTGTGATCGATTGCGAAACTTTACTAAATAAAAAATTGAATAATCAACCAAAAGCAATGTCTAACTATATCAATATAGATATTAACTTAAAACTGCACTGTTTGAAAGCAAGATTTGCTACACAACAGGGATGTGACTTTTCCGAATTTTAGCGGAAATCCGATTTTTCCGTTTCAGTTGCGATTTTCCTCCGCTGATTTAATTTTCGCCGAACTTTTCTGCCGAGGCTCAATTTTTGTCGATTTTTTACGAAGTTTTAAAAATTAGGAAAAAAAACGGAAATGCTCATTCCACTTATTCATATTTAAATTTAAATCGACAACTACTTAGGTCAAACGGACACTCGAATATGCGCATTTCTTTTCGATTGGTCGATTGCGCTATGTCTGACGGTGCTAGGTCAAGATTAAATGTAGATTAAGATTCGGAATTTCGGCGGACTTTCGAATTTTTCAAAACACACTTTTTTGGTCCAAATTTTCCGCTGATATTTTCAGTTAACTATTTATCAAAAAACATGTGAAAAGGTAATCTAATATAATGCAGTTATTCAAATGAAACTTACATCTCTTAAGCCTGGTAATCTAGCTATCGATATATCCTAATTTACCTATCTGTATTTTAACCCGCCTAAATCTAGAGTTTCTCTCTGATTCTATTTTATTTCGCAATCTCAAATTAATATTGAAATCCTTGCAAAAGGTGACTATGAGGACTAGACTAACCCGCCCCACCTCGTAGTAACGGTGGCTCTTGTGACCTCAACTTGACCCCAAGTTCGTGTTCGGTACTGCTTGTGGAAAAAAAAATGACGTCACAGCCAATTTCAAATAGCTGTTCCTGCAATACGTATGCTTCGTAGGCCTACCGATTAAAAAAAATATACTAAACTCAATGTGACTACGACCGTGTCTTGTTTGTGGAAGAAAAAATACGTTCAGACTGTGGGGTAGTCTGGCTTTTGTAGGAGAGAGGGGAGGTAAATATCGTCAAAAAAAAACGTGGATGACCCCTAACAATTTAGATTCTACAGCTATTCCAAAAAAACATAAATACCGATGTGGCTTGGCTATCAAAATGATTAACTTTGGTTCACACGTCAGACCCTTTCTAATTTTAGCTAACCTGGTCCATTTCATTTTTCCATCACATGAACCTAAAACTTTCAAATTGTAACTAATCTTTCTTAATCTAGGGTCTTTACAGTTGAAGACAAATATTTTTACCAATCCAATCTTTAAAAGAAAATAAGGCATTAGGCCCCCTATTTAAAAATTGAAAACAGGAGTACATCTAGAATCTACACTAGATTAGTACAGTTTAAATTAGCTTAATGGTAAAATAAAATTGCTACTTTTGTTACATTGTAATTTTAAAAAGTTGTTTATAAGGTTGTGACCTACTTAGGTCGAGTCATTTTTATTTTGACATTGTATAATTCCTTATATGGAATGATGGTGTAACACCTGGGGTTTTTCCACTGACTTATTAAGGTGTTTGAGACATAGAAATTTTCCATTAAAATCTGATTGAATGATTCTGATCAGATGATTATCCCAACCAATGGCGACATGAGTTGAGGATAACCTCCCCTGTCACAGGAGTCTTTAATTGCACTGCACACTCGCAACACGAGGCAGTTTATCTTGACCTGGCAGTCTACGAGGCCGTTTTACCTTGATCAGACAGCCGTCCATATTGTCCGGCTATAGAGTCTGACCATTTGAACGTGAGAGTACTTAAGACCTGTGTGTGCCTTGCTTTCTTAAGTTGATTTAGTCTTCTAGTTTAATATTACTTGTCGCTAAGTAATTCCTGAAGCTACAGCAGTGTTGTGTGGCCTGTAGCTGTTTCTTTAGACAGTGTAGAAATCTGTGATAGTGATTTTTCCTACATTTTGTAAGTTGGGTTTTTGATATTTTATACATTAAATATTTTATTTAGTTCAACCTTGTGTTCTGCCACTTCTGAGTTCGCTGATTAAAAGGTCGTATGTAGATTGGATGAGTGTTAATTACAATAGTATCACTAGCTTCCCTAGACATTAAATTCGAGCCCTAGTGGTCGTTGTGTTAAGTGTTCATCCACTTTGGCCGTAAGGCATTTGCATATGACCCCGAAAAAAGAATCCGGGGACGTTCTCCTTCTATTTGGCTGATAGATAGGGTAACGTTACAAAGTGGGGGCTCGTCCGGGATTTGAATGTGTCGTTCCAGTTGTCGGTTATATCAGTTGAATACTAAGGTTAGTTGGATTTAGTTGTTTTTATATCCAGTAGCGCAGTGTTCTTACAACGCGCGCTCAGGCTAGAGTATCTAGGTCAAATAACCAGACGTGTTGTCCTAGATTGAAGAGGTCAAGTACACGGCCCAACGCTGTGTATTAATTTAAAGGATCTAGGCTTGTTGTGATTTTCAAGTTAGTGTTATGGAGTCTTTTTTGGCTAATCCCACTGTTGAAGATGTCGAAAAGTTGAGTAGAAAAGTTTTGGTTAGTGTAGTTAAGGAATTGAAATTGGATTATTCTGTTACGCAGAAGTCAGAAGTGTTGAGAGATAAAATTGTTGTTCATTTTATTAATGAAGGGGTATTTGATGAAAGTTTGTTGGCTGGTGTGTTACTCCGCGAGGAGAAAGTTGCTTTAGAGAAGGCATTAAAAGAACAGGAGTTAGAGGTTAAAATTGCTTTAGATAGGAGGAGGTTGGAATCAGAGTTTGGTCAAGTTAGTGATGTTACTTCTCAGGTAGATCCAAAAAAGTTGTCGGTAGGGCAAGTGATTGCCAAATTTGGGAAATTAGTTCCTAAATTTGATGAAACAGATTTGGTCGTTTTCTTTAACTCGTTTGAGAGTTTAGCGAAGACATGTGAATGGCCCGAATCTTCCATTACTGCTTTATTGAGCTCTGTCCTTACTGGGAAAGCTGCAAAAACATACCAGGCACTCTCTCACGACGTTCAAAATAACTATAGTTTGGTCAAGACTGCCATTTTAAAGGCCTACGCACTGACGCCCGAGGCCTATCGGACAAAATTCCGAACACTCCGCAAGTTACCCACACAATCATATG